TTATGCATGCATCTTATCTATTCATACGTAATTTATATAGAACACATTGATTGGAAATCAACGTTAATGCATTGTTTATTGATTGATTCATTGATCGATTGATTGATTTTTCAGGCTGATGCTACACATGAAAGGGTTGTGAAGAGAGAGGAGGGTGAAAAACTGGCCAAGGTCTGTAATGTCAACACACACTTATAAGGGTAATTTTGGTCATGTAGTCACATATATATATATTTTTTAATACTTGTAATTTCTTTAAGTGCAAAACCTTTTTAATAAGGGGAAAATGGAGATAAATGCAAATCGCTCACTTTATTTAGCCTCTGTTGTTGTCTTTGAGAGGTTGCACAATTATTCATTGTGTATATGTGACAGAAACACACTTATTCAGTTATTTTGGTCATGTAGGCATGTTTTGAAATACAAATTATTTCTTTATGTGTAAAACCTTGAAAAATGTCTAAATGCATCTTTAAAACCGGCATTATTTCATGCATTAACTGAAACAGTAATTACAGATTCACAGCAGGCTAAATAAATGCATTATTCAGCCTCTTTTATTGGTTGCCCCGTTTAAATTATTCATGCATATCTGACACAAACTCCTACATGTGCATTGATCTTAGAGGGACCTCTCAAATGAATGCTGAAGCACTGATCCCACTGTTTATAAATGCATGTATTGTTTAAAGTCTGCATATTATAAGGAAGGAAGAAGAGCATTTATTCTTTCTCTCTAAAGGAGTTTGGCGTTCCCTTCATGGAGACCAGTGCTAAATCAGGCCTGAATGTGGAGTTGGCCTTCACTGCTGTGGCCAAGTAAGTCACTCATTTTCAGACAGAATCTGTGCATTTTTCCCACTGAGAATCTGCAGAATGGATTTATACCTGGTAACGTGTTGTAAATGGAGCTGAGAGAACCACACTCTTACTGACAGCTGAAAGCATGACCAAATTAGCACAACTATCTAATAAAGGAACATGTGTGATGGGGATGTGATTCTAAAATCAGGACATTACCCGTTCTGTATGTGGCGCTCGTATGTACTGATTCATCAAAGACAGTTTTCAGACACATAACCTTAGCAACAACATAGCAACACACTAAAACACCAATGCAACTGCATGGCAACGCATTAAAAACCACTCAGAACACTTTAGAAACAGCATGGCAACACACTAAAACACCATAGCAACCACATAACAATGCATCATAAAACAAATCTGTTGTAAAAAAACACAGAGGGCTGAATTCACTAAATACATTCGAGCCACTTTTGCACACAGTATCAGCACAAATTTCTAGATGCATCCTATTCATTATTCTTCTAATTTAACCAATTTATACCAGCTAAAAATTCATTTACTTTTATGCATTTAGCAGTTACTTTTATCTGAAGCATCTTACAATATGCATTATGTTTAATGATAATTTGTGCCTTTATTTTGTAAAGACAACACATTTTCAGTTTCTGTCTAAATAATCATTGTGTATAGCTACAGTATACGAGCATTTAAATTCAGTTTCAGTGCAAACATGCCTCTATGTAAATTATTTTTAAATTGCATCTTATTTATAAACAATACTGTTCGCCTGGTGCAGTTAGTGCGGGTTAGATTATGTACAAATTGTCGTATTTTACTTATTCCAAATTGCATGACAAAAATTGTAGTTAGTAATGTAATGCATTACATACATAAAAAAGTAACTGTAGTCTGATTACGAGTATTTAAAAATGTAATATAATCTAATTATAAGTACTTATCTGATTACATGATTCAGATTTACTAGCACTGGGTGCAATTAATGTTGCACTTGTGGGTGATTTGTTTTAAGTTTTTGTTGCAGGCATAATCCAGTTTAAACCAGTTTATTAAACTGCATCTTATTGACAAACATGCATTCCTGCAGCACAAACTGTTAAACATGGTGCAAGTAAATGCCAAGATCATGGGTTTGATTCCCACCGAATGCATGGACTGATAAAACATTTACAACATGAATGCAATTAAAGTCGCTTTGGATGAAAGCGTCTGCAAAATGCATAAATATAAATCCTCCACAACTCTTACAACTGACCCATAAATTGGGGTTTTGCACAGTGCAAATTGCATTTTAATGTATTAATAAGTTCATAATGCATCAAATAATGTTGAACTAAATTCAAGGTGTTTTTGTTAAAACATTTAAAAAATATATTAAAATATTTTAAAATAATAATAATAATCTATTTGTTAAAATAGTGATTCCTGTGTAAATATGTGTTCAGTGTTAATTTTGGGGTGTGTTTGCGCAGTTAACAGATTTGCATAATTCCTTCATTGAATCCTGTGCTAAATAGCACAGACAGCATGTGCAAATAAACACAGTAATCAGCAGGCGCAGGTCGTTTTAGTGAATTCCCCCCGGAGTTCAGAGAGGAAACTGATGTCTCCCTCCCCGTCTCTCAGGGAACTGAAGCACAGGGAGATGAAGGAGCCTAACGAGCCAAAGTTTCAGCTGCAGGAGTATGTTAACAAGGAGATGAAGGGAGTCGGCTGCTGTCGCTCCTAAACCCCCCTCACTGTCTGTTTGTGTGTTTTTCCACTTTCATCCTCTCTCGCATAAATTGGATGCCGGTCAGATATTCTGCGGCTCTGGAGACTTTCATTTTCAAACGCTGTGTTCGTTCTTTGGACCTCCGTGCACTTCACAGCTCACAAACAATAGCGAATGACACAAAGCAAACAGAGAAGCAGTCATCAGAATGCAATTGGCACGTCCTTAAATATTTGCACCCCCAATAAACACAGACCCACCTCTCCGAGCAGCTGTGAATGTATGTTCAACACTCATGAAGTTTGAAAAAATCATTCAGTAGTTAGATGTACTTTTCTGTGGCAGCTTCAATTGAACCCAATCATACACCACTTTCACTGTTAAAAATACCCACAAGTGTGTCATAAGCACGGCTGTTCAGCACAGAGATAAGTATAAGTGTAAAATCATAATTAACAAAGATTTGCCTTATTATAACATGGAGTTTTCTGTGGTTTCAGTCTCGTTCTGTAAACGTCTTGCAAAATTAGTCTTGATGCAGTTTGTAGACATTTGTGGAAAAGTTTTAAAATTACTTTAGTGAGATGATTCATTTTTTCTTTTAAATGTTCTTTTATTTATTCAATGAAACAGGTGGCTTTTCTTGATTTGTTTCAGCTAACCCTCAATTAAAAGAACATGCTGATTTTTTTTGTCTTATATTATCTTTCTGTTTTTGAAGCATAGATCATGATAGCTGTAAACTTTTTTATTGTGTCTCTTTAAGGTTAAATTGGCCAGACTTTCTCTATTTTATGTACAGTTTGACAATTTCTCTTTTTTGTGTGCAAACCATCACACATTAATCTAAAGTCCAAAGCTGATCGAGGCTAAGGAAGCTTGTTTCTGCCACGAAATATATATATATATATATATATAATAGAATTGTGTGATATAAACTTGCAGTTCTGAGAAGAAAAGTCCAAATTGTGAGATATGAACTTGCAGTTACAAGAAAAAAAGTCTGAATTCTGAGATAAAAAGTCGAAATTACCTTTTTTTTTTCATGGTGGAAGCAAAAAAAAAACAGAAATGAGAAATTTAAACGAAATAATTCGTATGCAAAAAAAAAACCTTCAACTGCGAGATATGAAGATTTGTCAGATTAAAAAGTCATTATTACCTTTTTATTCTTATTCTGTGGCGGAAACTTTAAATGTTTTAACAGACGGAAAATTTGATTAAGTTTGTCAAAAGAAGTCGCTTTTTTACACTTACTTGCATATTCATGTCATATTCTCTCCACTTTTTTCATTGTTATTTGTCAATGTCTTTAAAAAAAATATGAACTACTATGAAAGATGTATGTATTGTACATATGAAAATATCATATGGCACTTACAGTAGTTTGCATAACATATAATTAATGTTTTGTTAAATGCCTTTAAATTTAGTATGGTCCTGTACGCTAAATATATAGAAAGCTTTCATTAGAATTAGTAGCTTTAAGTGATGTTCAGAATGTGCTTGAGTTTAACAAATTGATGTTATGTCAGATATTGTACGTACTGTGGATCATTTAATATATCGTGCTGTACAAATATTTTCATTTGAAGAGTTTTCAGTACTATGACTTTTGCACTTTTGTTCTTGTTGTTTTTCTGTTGTTGTTGATATTTTTTATATGTGACACTGCAGCACAAAAGCAGTGTTAAGTCGCTGGGGTATATTTGTAGCGATAGCCAATGTATGGGTCAAAACTATAGATTTTTCTTTTAAGCCAAAAATCATTAGGATATTAAGTAAAGATCATGTTTCATGAAGATATTTTGTAAATTTCCTACCGTAAATATATCAAAACTTAATTTTTGATTAGTAATATGCATTGCTAAGAACTTCATTTGGACAACTTTAAAGATGATTTTCTCAATATTTAGATTTTTTTGCACCCTCAGATTCCAGATTTTCAAATAGTTGCATCTCAGCCAAATATTGTCCTATCCTAACAAACATCAATAGAAAGCTTATTTATTCAGCTTTCAGATGATGCATAAATCTCAATTTCGAAAAATTGAC